GGGGAGGAAGCATTAAAGAACTAGAGGAAAGTTATATGTTTCATCGTTGCTACCCTGAACTTTTGAATTGTATAATATGTGAATTGTATGCCAATAAAACTGTTAGGAAAAAAATTAAAACCGACCCACCCTCCCCAATCTTTCTCTCTCTCTCTCTCACTCACTGCCATTGAGTTATGCCAACTCTTAGTGACTCTATAGGACAGGGTAGCACTGCCCCTGTTAGTTTCCAAGAGACTGTAACTGTTTATGGGAGCAGGGAGTAGAAAGCCCGGTCTTTCTCCAGAGGAGCTGCCTGGTGGTTTCAAACTACTGACCATGCGGCTTGCAGCCCAATGCGTAACCACGGCGCTACCAGGGTGCCTTATGATTATCTCCCAATAGGTGGCGCTCCTGAAACAGCATATATGCTTTTACCTGAGTTGGTCTATTTCTCCATCTGCTGTCTAATTCTGAGAAAAATTTAGGTTTGCTTTGATGACCTTTCTTCTCCATTTGCCATCTCTAGGGACCTTAAGTCTAGATTTGGATCTGAAATTCTTTCTGCTAACAGTCCTCCAAAAGGTACTTATTGCTTTTCTGATGAGTAGTGGAGAAGAGAGAGAACATCTGGATTGGAAAAAATAAAGTTGCAATTGGTTCAGCAAACCAAATGATGTTTGTGGCCGCCGTTTCCTGATTGGAAACACTGCTTGATTGGCTGACGGAAAGGCGACTGTAGCTCAGGGGTACTCAGCGAAGGGCGATTTTGTCCTGGAGGGGATACTTGGAATCATTCTTAGTTGCATGAATGAGGTGTGCTACTGATACAGAATCACTGGAGTCAGAGATGCTTCTAAACATGTTACCATGTACGGGACACCACAACCCCCAAATGACAAACTAGCTCAAAGTATCAATAGTGTAGATGTTGAGAAACCCTAATACAGGTTAATATTAATAATTTGCATCTCCCTTGCTTTAGGTCTGCTCCAAAAGGATCTACCTCTATCATTTTATCTTAGATCATGAAGATCAGTACTGGGCCAGGACCTTGAGAAAGGGCATGTACCACCGGCTCCACTCCACAGTCCAACACTGATTGTTGTGTGGGGCAGGCAGGTAGCCTTGGCAGCAATTGGGAGGGTAGTCATGCACAAGTACTTCCTTAGAACCAGTGTCTGAAGGACACACCTGCTCTGAGTCCTCAGCTCAGTTCTTCTTCAGTTGGTTTCCTTGAAGGTGGCTGTATTGGTCATCTTCTCGATCCCTGAGGGGCTGAAAAAGACAGCATGATCAGAAGGCATGTTTTCCCCACCACCTGTGAGTTCATTGGATACATACTGATTGAGTGCCTTCATGGGCAAAGCTTTGGAGTGGATGCTGCATCTTGCTGGGCGTGGGGGCAGAGGGCGGGGGCAGGAGGATGGAGGCTTTGGATACAGCTTGCTTGGGTTTTTGTCTCAGTGTTTCTTCACCTTTCTCTCAGGAAGCTCCGACTCCAGTCCCTTCTCAACTCTTCCCTGTATGTCATTTATTCAACCCAAATCCAAAGTCACCCCTCTTGTGCTACACCTTGGGCAGTTCCTAATCTGTGTATCAGACTCACGGCCATCGAGCGGATGCTGACTCACAGCAACCCTCGAGCACAGGGTAGAAGTGCCCTGGGGGTGTCTGAGACTGTCACTGTTTATAGGAATAGAAGACCCCATCTTTCTCCTGACGAGTGGCTGATGGTTTTGAACTGCTGATCTTGTGGTTAGCAGCCCAACATGTAATCACTATGCCACCAGGGCTCCCTTTACTGGTATAGCACTTTCTAAATACCTTGGGCTCAAGTAAAGAAATGCTACCCCTCTCTAGTTGTAGCAAAGTCTCTTTGATTCATAACCCTCTTACCTGGTAGAGTTGGTCATTGGGCAACAGAGTCTGCTTGTCTGAAGCTGTACAAAAACAAAACAACACACATGTGCACACAAAACACAGAATGGATAATAAATGGAATCATTATAAAATGCAATAATAATTAGTGAGTTATACCGACACATAAGTATAAGTCTCACAAGAGTATTCTTGAGTGAGAGAAGTCACTCTCAAAAGTACTTACTGTACTAATCCATATAAAGAACAAAAAATGGGCAAAATTAATCCATGTTAAAAAAAAACCCAAACCCACTGCCACTGAATAGATTTAGACTCATGAAGCGGCTCTACAGGACAAAGTAGAACTACTCCTGAGGGTTTCTGGGACTGTGATCTCGATGGGAATAGACAGCCTTCACTTTCTCCTGAGGAGCAGCTGTGCCTTTGAACACCTCCCTTGATGTCAGCAGGCCAACACTTAACCTATGTCAGCCGTCAAAATGGGGCTTCCGCTTAGGAATAGGTACCGACTAGAAGTGATCACAAGAGGGTGCTTCTAAAGTACGGACGGTGTTCTTGAACTGGGTTCTGAATTCATGGGGTGTTTGCTTTGCTAATTAAAAAAATCTGTAGGTTGCCATTCATTCATTTTTCAGTATACATGCTTCACTTGGTTACGCAGTTTTAAAAATACATGCGTACAAGTCAGAGGGAGTCAGATCTGGAGCTAGGGACCCAGGCTGCTGGTACCAGGCATCCTTTTTCCCCGGCTCCAGAGACACCGTCACTCACCTCACTGTGCATGTTAGCAGCACACGGAAACTCAGTCTAAGGATCCCAGGGGGTCACATCTTTCATCTAGGAAATTTTTTTTTTTTACCTCGTGACTGACGAATTCCATCCTGCCCAGCAATGAAGTAGACCCCAACAGCGAGGAAAAAAATGCTGATGATTTCAGCAAAGATAAAGCCAGCGATTGTGGCTGCACTCAGCTCAATGCAGTTCTGACACACTGTGGGAAAGGCAAGGACAGGTTTCCTTCAGGCTGGCGGAGTTGCTTTTCCTGGATCTTTTCCTCCTGTCTATCAGTTCTTATGCCTCTGTCTAGGACAGCTAACTTCTTGCTCTGTGGGTGATATAGCAACAGAGAAGACCAAGAACGCAGTTTCTGGATGCTTCACGGTGTCCCAGGTGTTCTGGGAAAGCCCATGCAGTCTCAGTACCAGAAGCTGTATCTGTTTAGAGGGAGACTAGATCTTCTCTATGCTCAACAGTCCTGTGTTCCACACTGATACTCACCCTGTAATTATCACCTCTCAATATCCCACCCCAGATCATAGAAAGAGCCATGCTGCTCCAATCCATAGGGCCCACCCGAATGTAAGTCAGGCTCTACAGAAAGAACTGGCTGTGCTGCGCACTCTGTCATCTTCCAAGAAAGGTCACCTCTCACTCCAGATATGACGCTCACCAGAAGAGCACGTACAGCTTAATTTCCCAACCAACCAACACATAAACCAGAGGGCAGTACATACTTCTAAAATATACTTGGAGTTGTTTTGACATCTTTTGTGCTCCTCTGCACCAATACACTCCTCGAGGGTCCTTGGTACTACTTCCCAGATCCAGAGGTTTAGTTGTATTGAAGGTGATTATTTCCTGTTCATATTTAAACCACTCAATACTTTTAGCTTGCACATCACAAGTCAAACGCACCAAACCATCTTCTCGATTGGCATCCACTGCTACCAAATTGTTTCCTGAAAAGGGAAAAGCCACGTTTCTTCTGTGGAGCTTGCCTCTGGGATTCTCCCTGCCCCAAGTATTAGGGGAAGACCATTAAAACCAAATTCCTCAAATTCTAATGTACACTTGAGTCACATGGCATCTTGTTTAAAAAAAATAGTGACAGTCATTTTGAGGAGGGCATGGAATTTCTGACATGCTCCCCAGTGATGTCAATGATGTTGGCACATGGATCACATTTTGAGTAGTGCCTAGCTACTAAGTTCTGTTTCTCCTGCAAGAATCAGACAGTTAATTTCTTACCTACTGGAAAGCTGTCTAGGACAGGTCATGGCTGGCCAGAGATAATGGAGAAGTCAGCTCATGGGTCCCACCTTCATCATCTCATCTCTCATAAATTGCTGACTTCTGGAGGATTACAATCCTAGGAATCCATATATCTGTGGACTTACTCAGAGTTTTAACATAGAAGCTATTTTACCTACCTTGTTTCTTCTCAGCCACAGTACCTAGAGACAGATGAGAGATGGATAGTCAGCGGAGTGTGGAGATGTTCAGATGGTCTGTGATATCATTTCCATTATCAATTGCAGTGAAGACTAAAAATGACAGTATCGACATCTACTTCCTCAGATCGTAGCCTAAATTACAAAATTGGATTTAGGGCATTGTCCCTATAGTCCGCAGTGCTCTGCTTCATCTGACAGGAGTGGATATGCACCAGCAAAAGAATCCAGAGATCTTAATGCTGAGTTACTTCTACAGCCCGCAGCTTTGGTGACTAATTTCATACAGAAACCCTAGATATCCCAGGAGGGTTAGCTAACTAACGACCCTCAAATTTATGTCAAAGCCCAGAGTACTAGCATTACACGTTAGACATGCTAACAGAGGCCTAGCACTGGGGTCATTCAATTTGAACATTCACTGAGTACCATTATGGACTTGGCATAGCTATACCTTGGGAAAAGCTCAAACCTACTGCCATGGAGTTGGTTCCTACTCATAGAAACCCTATAGGACAGGATAAAACCGTCCCACAGGATTTCTAAAGCTGTAAACCTTCAAGGAAGCAGACTGCTACATCTCTCTCCTGAAGAGTGGCTGGTGGGTTTGAACCACTGACCTTTGGGTTGAGTCGAGTACTTTATTGTACCACCAGGGCTTCTATTGTGCAAGAAAAGGGCAATAATAAATAATATATAAAACTAGTTGCTGCTTCCAAAGAGTTTACATGAAGTGATATAAAAATGTACATATATCTATATATGTGATCAATGTAATAGAACTAATAAGTACTCTTTTAGATCACATAAATGCACACAAATGGAGGAAGAATCTACTGGCTTTCTCCAAATGTGGAAGGCTTAAGTAGAAGTGGTGACATTTGGCTTGCCTTCAAGAATCTGTAGGTGAAATACAACTAATAGAGAAAGGCAATCATGGTAGAAAGACAAGCTGAGCAAGTATACACATTTGTAAAAGTGCGTTCTAGAAGTAGACCTTGTGATAGGGAGAGGTAAGGCACAAGTCAGAGTACGATGGAAATAGCTGGAACCAGGATTCTCTTCCTCTAAGAACTAGTCAGCTGTCATTGACCCTCACACAGGGTGGTCTGCCCAGTAGAGCGTCTTGAACATGGTAGGAACTCAGTAAATATGTTTGAATGAATACATGGATGAACACAACCATAATAATACAAATGGCACAGTTAAGCAGATTTCTTGCTAGTTCATCTCTCAGAGCACCTCGTCATCATGGAAGGGACAGAGAAGCTCCTCCTTCTAAGTCAGATTCCCCTGGAGAGAAGATCAGATGGGCTGCAGGTACACCTCGTTTTATTGTGCTTCCCTGTATTGCGTCTTAAAGGTACTGTATTTTTAACCAATTGAAGGTCTGTGGCGACCCTGCATCAAACAAGCTCCACATAGGAGTACAGGCAGTGATAAAGGAATACAGAATAGTGGCAGTGTACAAGATCAACAAACAGAAGTCTATTGGTTTGCTATATACATTGGACAAGACCATGGAAGAAGAGATCAAGAAAGCAGTGCCTTTCAGAAAAGCCAAGAACAAATAGAAATATCTAGGGATATACCTTACCCAAAAACCAAACGTCTTATACAAGGAAAAACTACAGAACCCTACTACAGGAAACCCAAAGCAACCTCCACAAATGGAAGAATATCCCATGTTGTGGATCAGAAGACTCAATATAGTAAAGATGTAAATCTTACCCAAGGTACGTTATAAGTTAAACACTATCCTGATTCAAATACCAACAATCTACTTCAAAGAATTGGAAAAACTGACCACCAATTTTATATGGAGAAGGAAGAAGCCCAGCGTTTAGCAGGGAACTCCTCAAGAAGAAGGACCAAGTCAGAAAGCTCGCCTTACCTGACTTTAATACCTACTACACAGCCACAGTGGTCAAAACAGTGTGGTATTGGCATAATGACAGATACTCAGACCAATGGAAAAGAACAGAAAACCTAGAAATAAAACCATTAGCATATAGACAACTGAGCTTTGACAAGGCCCCCAAAAGCATCAAGTGGGAGGGGATGACCTTTTTAACAAGTGGTGCTGGAAGCAATGGATGTCCATCTGTAGAAAAATAAAACAAGACTCTTACCTCACCCCTCATACAAGAACAAACTCAAGGTGGATCACAGACCTAGAAGCAAAACCCCAAACTATCAGAACCCGCAATGAAGGAATTGGGACAAACCTTAGAACCTTGGTGCAGGGAATACACAGGCTAACTGTAACAGGGAAGGGTACACACATAGATGAAGCTGAAATGGACAAGTGGGATATACTAAGGATAAAACACCTGTGTGCATCAAAAGACTTCAGCAAGAGAGTAATAAGAGAACCCACAGACTGGGAGAGGATTTTTAGCGATGACACAACAGGCAAAGAGCTTATTACTAAAGTCTACAATACTCTCCTAGCCTGCAAGAAGAAGAAAGCAGTTAACTCCCTAAGGAAGTGGGCAAAAGACCTGAACAGAAGTTTCAGTAGGGAGGAGACCCGAATAGCCAATAACATATGAGAAAATGCTCCAGATCATTAGCCATCAGAGAAATACAAATTATAATAACCATCAGATACCACCTAACATCCTTGAGGATAGCCCAAATCAGAAAATCAGAGAGCAACAAATGTTGGAGGGGATGTGGCGAGATAGAAACTCTCCCCCACTGCTGGTGGTTGTATAGATACATACAGCCTCTGTGGAAAGCAATCTGGTAATATTTAAAACAAATGGAAATTGAGTTACCTTATGAACCAGCAATCCCTCTACTGGGCATATACCTGAAGAGGTAAGAAATAGATCACGACTAGTTGTCTGTGCTCCAATGTTTATTGCAGTGTAATTCACAATAGCAAATAATTGAAAACAAGCTAAATTTCCAATGATAGATGAGTGGATTAGAAAACTCTGACACATACACACAATGGAGTACTACGCATCACTAAAAAGCACTGATGATTTCATGAAGCACATGTGTCATAGTTGGAGTAAATGATGCTAAGCAAAGCTAGCCAATCACAAAAGGACAAGCACAATATGAGTCCACTGCGGTAAGCATCATCAGTACAGCAGGTATAGAAGAAAAGCCACTTCTCTCACACTTTACAGGCTGAGGTACGGGCAATAAGGTGGGGGACACATCAAATCCGAGGATGTACATGTTATTCCAACACAAAGAAGGGGAAAGCGGGGAGGGAGAGAAAAGGGGGAAAAAAAGAGGGAGAAGATAGCATTGGGGTAGTAGGATACTAATCCACCCAGGGGGACGGTATTGTTTATGTCTCCACAGAAATGGAAGTGTGAGTGCAGACTCCACCATGGCGTGCCAAACCGCAAGGGCAACATAGCCACATGGAGCAACTCATGAACAGAGAGGGCTACAGGGGCGGCTCAATCAGAGCTCAACTGACCCCTCCCTAGAAGTATGTGCTACAGAGGACAACACTAACCCCACAGGTTGGGGAGAGGGGCTGGCCTGCCATGCCCACAAAAGCAAACCAAGAATGAAAAAGAGAGCGAGGAACTAGGAACTAGACCCCATACTGGCACACCAAGCCCTGAGGAGGATGTCCGTGCATGGAGCTGCTAAGGCACAGTGAGGACTGTAGGGCCAACAGCCCCTCGAACCATGATGTCCCTTCACGGGAGCATACTGCAACAGAGGACAATACTGGGGACACATGGCAAGGTGGAGTGAGTCCGGTCTGAAACCCCCCCC